ATATGTCAGAATCCAACAATCCCCAGTCCTTCTTCAACTCTCTACATTCCTCAATACTTTATTTTCAGCCTTTCAACTACACACATAAACTTGAATTCACACACACACACACACACACACACACACACACACACACACTCATGTACATTAACCTGAATGTTACTTTTCACCCTCATTGAGTTGAGTTAGAAGAGTGACTAGCATGGCTTACAGAGTCTATCAACAGGAAGACTTTAAGAACAAAGTCAAAAGAAACCATAACTACTGAACACAAGTTTGTTAATAACCAACAAACTCCTAAAAATCCTCACTAGAATCTGTTGTTGGTTGTTTTTACTCTTTACTCTTTTTGGCTCTTTTAGGGTCCTGCCACCCAGTTCCCAAATAAATCACACATGGAGTCTTATTCTTACTTATGAATGTTTGTCCTTAGCTTGACTTATTTTTAGACAGTTTTTCTTAACCTAAATTATCCCATCTATCTTTTGCCTCTGGACTTTTATCTTTCTCTATTTCTATATATCTTTTCTGCACTTCTTTCTCAGTGGCTGGCTGTGTGGCTGGGTGACTAACCCCTTCTTTTCTCACTCCACGTTCCCTCCTTCTAGTAAACTCTTCCAACTTATTCTCTCTGTCAGCCAGCCCTACCTATTTTTTCTCTTGCCTTGCTATTGGCCATTCAGCTCTTTATTAGACCAAACAGGTGTTTTAGACAGAAAAAGTAATACGCTTCACAGAGTTAAGTGAATGCAACACAAAAGAATGCAACACATCTTTGCATCATTACACAAATGTTCCACAGCATAAACAAATGTAACACATCTTAAAACAAATTTTTCTACAGCAAAAATCCTTCTAGAGACAATAAAGAACATCTGTAATTCTGTATCAGAACCTGTGAACACCTAGATCGCTTTGTCTGTTATTTCCTATCTTGATTACAATGGTAAAGAACTACTTTGATCCATATATAAATATTAAAAATAATATTTAATAAATTTGCTGATTATAAAGAGTGTACACTGTTGGTATTTGACATTCCAGGTATACCCATGATGTATTCATGTTGCGTGTTGGCAGTGTTACTTTTGTTTGCTGATAATCTCAGTTCCTGTTCCATGGCCTAACAATTTGTTTTCCTCAAAACAAAATATGATAGTAACTGAGCTAAATGGCTGGACAACACAGAAGAAAGCACTGATTTGACAGTTCAGGCTGCAATAAGATCCTGTAGACTTATTTCTCATACTGCTGTGCACTGGGTATCTAAAGATCCAGGTGCCACCAGTCAGGTCCTTGAGTCAACCACCCTCGTGTCCACACAGGACTTTCCTTACTGTATGTTTCATTCTTGCTTTTTTGGTGAAAGCTTTTCTCCTGTCTTTGTGTTGTCCTCATGACCTCTGGTATCCATCAGAACCTTCCCAAATCTCTTCCCCAGTATCATCTTATGTACATTGTTATTAATAAATTCATTTCACATAATAGGAATTGTAGTGCAAGTATTAAACCTAAGACACTCAAAGGGGAAAAGGGAAAAACATCTTAAAGTATTTTTAAGTTAAATAGAGATAAAGATTGAGTATCTCTTCTGAACGTTTTCCTCATAACAAATGCTGGCATAATCAACCTCTCAAGGAACAAGTTTTATGTTGGCTTATGGTTTCAGAGTTTCCATGACACAATTGGTCAAATCTGAGTTAGGTCTCTCATGATGGTGCTGGATTACAGTGGTGGGCAACTCATCCCACAGCCAAGAACCAAAAGCAATAGAAGGGATAGTGTCATACACACAAATATATCACCACCTTCACTAGACCCCTATATACTCAAGATTCTACTACTTAGCAGCCCTGGAGATATGGATTAGTAGTTAAAAGCACTGGCTATTCTTCCAGAGAAACCAGATTCAAGTCTCAGAAGCCACCTAGTACCTCAAAACTATTTGTAACTCCAGTGCCAGTTTACTGGTCTCTGTAAGCACTTTATGTAAGAGGTGTACTTACACACATGCAGACAATACATCCAAGCACTTTTTTTTTTACTTTTTAATACAATAAAATAAATCTTTAAAAAAGAAATAGAAAAGTGTATCTAAGAAGAGAACAACATAGAAGAAAGCAAGCAAATTAATGGATAATAGGATAGAAAAACAAGCATTGACTTGGCATTAGGTAAGGCTTTGCTTCTGCAATCACAATGACAGAATCAAATCGGAGTGTGCAGCTGAAAATCACTTCTGTAATCCTGCTAGCTGTCTGTCTTGGCAATAGCTTCATTCCCTAAGTTAGATTTACATGTAATGCTGTCATATTGATGACCATATAAAGGACTTAACATACACTGAAAGTTTGATAAGAAAAGCATGTTGGGGCCAGTGAGATGGCTCAGTGCATTAGGGGGATTTCTGCTAAGCCTGGAGACATGAATTCAATCCCCAGAATTCATATGGTAGGAGGTGAGACTAAACTCCCACAAGTGGTCCTCTGTCCTCTACACATAAATTATGGAAAGTGTGAAATCTTCTATATGCAAGAGACAGACATAAACAAGTGTAAAAACCTAAGTAAATAAAGTTTTTAAAATGGGAAAGTATCATGATTTCTTTCAGGAAAGAATGTAATTCAGGTGGACCAAGAAAGGATAAAGATGAACTACATCAAACTGTGTCGTGTCTGAATAATCTATAGGTTCTCTGAAAATGCTAGGGATTAATAGCAGTGATTAAGATTAACCTGTGGTGCCTAACTTCCTGCCTTTTTATTATAAAAAAGAGATGGGAATGTAATGTTCTGTCCTGCTTGCAGCCTCAGCCTCACATTCTCTTCCTCTGTCCCCCCCCTTTTTCTTTTTCTCTCCCTTTCTGCCCTTCTCCCTTCCCTTCCATAACCATTAGATAAATATCCAACTCTACTCTGTATGATATGTCTATCTGTCTGCATCCCACCTGCTGCCTGCCCACACCGCTCACCAAGGACCATCCAGCCACCCACATGGATTGCTGGGGACCAGCCACCTTCCTGCTGAGTGGTCTCGTGTGTTGACCCTGCTCGGGACTTTCTGCTTTCAGGACCTCAGCAGCTTTCAGCAATTCTGTTACACTCCCTAGTTACCCATTCACATTAGAACTCACTCCCCTTCGAGGGTCTCTGTTGACTGACCCAAAGGTCAGAGCAAGATCATAAAAATTCCTTTGTTCAGAGCTAATGCTTGGCGCTCCTACTATAAAAAGTGGGTTCAGAAACCAGCCTTAGGCCATAGCCTAACAAACACCATCTCTGGCTGTGGTCTCAGTTAGCTGATAAGCTTCTGTGCCCCCCTGGTGTTTTTTTATTTTTATTTTTTTATTTTTAATTTTGCTTCTGGTTTTCCTAGGATCTGGTTTCTGGAATAAAGCCTGCTTCTGGTTTATTAGACTTGGTGGTGTTCTCATCTTTGCACAACCTCCCTGGACCCAACACTGAATATTCTGAAATTCTGAACTTATATTATTCAATTGCCATATCTGCCCATCTAACAAAAAATTATAGGATGTAGATTACATATTGTCATAATTCTGACAGATAATGTAAATGAATGTTCAACGTAATTGTATGTAGCAAACTAGTAGTCACATATTTTTTAAGTCATTAATAGTAAGTCAGAATTAATTTGAATTCCTTAAGGACATTTGAAATTCTTTATTTAAAGCATTTATTTTATTTAACTTACAGGTGCATGTGGAGGCCAGAGGAGAACTTGCTTAGTCAGTTTTTTCCTTCCACCATGAGGGTTCAGAGCATCTAACTCAGTAATGCAGGCTTGTTGGTCAGGACATTTACTTACTGAGACATCTCACAGCACTAGCCTGAGTGAGCCTGGACAGGGCAGTTAGCACAGCAGAGAGGCTCTGGCTCCTCAGAGGATGCTGAGCTGACTGTGGACTGCACAGGACAAGCAGGACTGGGGATACTTTTCTCTCAAGTGCATAAAAGGTAGAAGGGATAGAAAGCAGCCCCACAAAGGGAGACAGACATTAGGTCTGCAGCCCCTTAGTAGTTCTAATTTGCATATCTCTGAGGCCAGCAGTGTTGCACACGTTTTCAAATGCTAATTAGCCATTTTATTTCTTTTCTGAGAAATCTCTGTTCAGTTCCATGGCCCATTTTTATTGGGTTGTTTGTTTTCCTAGTGTATACTTTTTACATTATTTATACATTCTAGCTAATTATCAGATTTATAATTGGTAAAGATTTTTCTCCCATTCTATGGGGTTTTTCTTCTTTGTCTGACAATTTTTTATACAAAATGTTTTTGTTTTAAAAGTTCCCAAATTAATGCCCTTATTTGCTGAGCAATATGAGGTCTTTAGTATATTTGGGGTAGATTTTTATACAGTGAGAGAGACAAGAATCTAATTTTGTTGTCCTACATGAAGCTTCCCAGCACTGTTTGTTGAAGATACTCTTTTCTCCAATTGATCTTTTTTGGTGATTTTGTTGAAAATCAGATGGTTGTAGTTTATGGCCTTGAAGCTCTGTCTTCTGCTCTATAGCATAGATCTATGTGTCTGGTTCTGTGAAATTACCATGTTGTCTTTATTACTATGGCTTTGTAGGGTAACTTGGTTCGTGGGAGCCTAGGCAGTGGATGCTCACCTTACTAGACCTGGATGGAGGTGGGTGGTCCTTGGACTTCCCACAGGGCAGGGAACCCCGATTGCTCTTTGGGCTGACAAGGGAGGGGGACTTGACTGGGGGAGGGGGAGGGAAAGGGGAGGCGGTGGTGGGGAAGAGACAGAAATCTTTAATAAAAAAAAAAAAGAACCACAACTAAGTTATAAAAGAAGAAATCACACACACACACACAAAAAAAAAAACAGGCATGGCATAACCTCCAACAATGCACTTTTTACTCGGGATTTCTTTGACTTTCAAGAGTCTCTTGTCTTCTTTTACAATCTTTTTCTTTTTCTGTGAAGAAAGGCATTAGAGTTTTCATTGGTATTTCATTGACTGTAGATTTCTTACAATAAAACAGCCATTTTCACAATATTGCTTCTTCTAATCTACAAGCATGTGTCTCTTTCCATCTCTCAGCATCTCTTAAATGACTTTCTGAGATGTTGTAGTTCAATTGTAAGGTCTTTCAAAGACTTTGTTAGTTATATATGAAGGCATTTCTTTCTTTCTTTCTTTCTTTCTTTCTTTCTTTCTTTCTTTCTTTCTTTCTGAAGTTATTATGAATGGGATTGCTTCACCAAATTCTATTTTAGATTGTTTTTCATGGGTATAATAAGACTACTCATTTTTGTGTATTAACCTTGCATCCTGTCACTTTGCAAAATGTGTTGATCAGTTTCCTGAAAAATAAAGAATAAACATGCTATAATCCACAGACTAAGAGAAACTAAGTAATAAGAAGGGCTCAAGTGGCAATCCATGAATCTCCATGGGTAGCTAAAATAAATACACATCTCAGGTGAATAGGGGGACAGGAAGGATCAGATGGGTGTATAATAGAGGGAAAGAGTACCAGGAGAGACAACTGCAATTGGGGGGCTTTGATTAGATTTCTGTCCTGCCTGGTCCTGCTGTCATTCACTACCAAAGAAACATACAGAGTTCTACATTAATCATAAACTGGTTGACCTTTTAGCTCAGGCTTCTTATTAACTCTCTCTTACATATTAAATTGGCCCATTATTATTGTCTGTGTTAGCCACGTGGTTTGGTACCTTTATCAGTGAGGCATTCCCATCTTGGTTCCTCTGCATCTGGATAACAACTTTAGACTGACTCTTCCCAGAATTCTCCTGTTCTTATGACCTTACCTCTACTTCCTGCCTGGTTGCCATGCCAGTACTTCCTGCCTGGCTACTGGCCAATCAGTGTTTTATTAAAATAATAAAAGTGACAGGATAAAGACCATTGTCCCAAAGCAAGGGGCACCTTAGGAAAAAGCTAGACCCTAGTACAATGGAAACTCTCAGGAATAGATGGGGATGACCCTAGCTAAGACTCCTAGCAATGGATACAGAGCCTGAACTGGCCATCTTTTTAACCAGGCAAGACTTTCAGTGGAAAGACTGGGACACAAACCCTGTCACAAAACTATCAACCTACAATTTGTCCTTCCTACAAGATGTGCTGGGGTTAAAGTGGAACAGAAATTATAGGAGTGGCCAAAGAATGAATGTTCCAATTTAAGACCCATGCCATGAAAGATAGCCCACTTTGACACAGCCTATTGTGCCAGGACCCAGAGGCTAGATAACAATGAGTACTAGGATAGAAGCAAATATGACTGGAAAAGAAAAAAATAATCAATGAAATGATATGAATAATGAATAATTTGACGTGTTACCCCTATTTTATTAAAGAAATCTTTATAATTAGTTAATAGAATTACAAGAGCTCTTCCTGAAAATTGCAATGATTCCTTACATTTATTAGATCCCACTATAGTTTTGCTACTATTGCCTTTTTGTCACCTGTCCCAGGACTTATTGTTGGATTGCAAAAAGAGATTTCTAAAATAACCTGTCTAATTTCAAAAGCTGCTAATATTACAGCAGAAATACTCACTAACATTGATCAAGAAATGAGAGGCTTGAGAACTGTTCTACAAAATAAAGTTACTATAGACTATCGGTTACTTAAACATAATCTCGGTTGTCAGCCATTTACTAGAGTGTGCTATTTAATATCTCTGATTTTTCTCATCCCATTGACAACCAAATGGATGATCACATAAGGAAATAGACAAAATCTCCCAAACAAATTTTCACTGGCCAATATGGCTAAGATGCCCCCCCCCGCCTGCTTCATCAGCCCTCTAATGTTACTTCTACTGGTCATCGTAATCAGGACTTGTGCTCTGCAATGTGTGACTCGCTCAGTCACCTGTCAGACAAACAACTCAAGCGTTATTGCTACTTAACGACATAATTTAAGAAGTCCCCTCTCAAGCCATTGACAGAGACACATAAGTCAAGGGCCGAATCAGGAACCTGCCTGACTCCATTTGGCAGGCAGGAGCCATTATGCTGTATTGTTAACATGAGTTTCTGTTTCCTGGAACCTACCCTGCCCCAACCTAAGACTTTGACACACCCTTTCCTCCCTGATTAAGCTATCCCTCCCGAATCATGTGGCAAAAACAATGGGAAGGCTGGGTTTTATTGTTGTTTTTATTTTTATAGGATTTTTATGTAGTTTTACTGATCCACTGATTTCTATAAACCTGCTTTTCAAGTACTCCTTTGATTTCCCCCCTTAAGAGGTTCCTAAGAAATGGACTCAGAGTAGCTCTCTTTAACTGGACCAGGAAGGCAGTCTCTGGCCAGCTCTCAGGTACATCACAATAAAAACCGAGTTTGTTTCAAATTTGGCTCAGAATGGTGATAGTGGTCTTATTCTCTCACCCAGTGTGGTTCACAGAAGGAGGCATTGCTTGGTCTGCCCCAAAAGGGGGAAATATTTGTAATGAAGCCATAGAACTAGGAAAAAGTAAAAGTAAAAGCAAATCAACAATGTTAAAAGCTGTAAAGAAAAGCATCAGCTCACAAAATAAAACACATCAAAATAACACCCATCTCTAACCAGCAACCCTAAGTGACAGGGAAATGTGGGGTGGTGAATCTCAAGCCCTAAATGTGAATCATTGCAGTTAATATCACTAAATATACAAAGCTATCTTTTAAAATTGACAGAAAAATAAGAGTGTTTTAAGATAAACACAAATTCCCACAATTAGGACTAGTAATCTAGTACTCCAGAACATACCTAAATGAATACTATATGCAGAGAAAGAAAAGAACAGTCTTAGTCATGACATCATAGGAAAGAAAAAAACCCATGAGAGAATAATGAACAGGGGAGGAATCAGAAAGACTGCATCTTGTCCAGCACAGTGAACCTGCAAACAATGGGATATGGGGGAGGACATCTAATCAACCCGAAGAATAACCAAGATTACAAAATTTAGCAAACCTCTCTCAATGGTTATCTTCTATGTAAATGACATCAAAGATAATAGAATGAAGAATAGCTGACTGGATTAGAAACAAACATAAAACTTTAAACATTTCTTGCCAACCCTAAGATGGCTCCCTTAATTAAGATGTGTGCTTCCCTGCTCCCCTATCCGACCTTCCTTTATCCCAAACATCCCGTTTCCCAAGTTCCCCCCAACCTCCACTTCTCACTTTTCTCTCCCCATCTCCCCTTACCTCCCTCCCC